AGAACGAACTCAAAAAAGCTGGCCTTCTGCGCGCTGCGTTTCATTATTATTAAAAATTAGCTATAATTTATTTTCTCATAATATATACATACATATTTACATCAAAGTTGTGTAAACATAATTTCAGATTAATTAAATAAGTTACCAGTTATTATTATTTTGATTAAATAACTAATTAATTGACAGTCGTAGTGTTGAATAGATACCTGCTGCCAGCTGCGACAAAAATCATTAGAGTGGTAGCCCGTTCTTTCCCCGCGAAGCACCATTAAATAATGGCCTGTTCTTATGTGTTGCAGCGGTTCCCGAAGAATTAAGGGACGCCTTCGCATCGCGAGTGCATTTTATCCGTGCAGAGATCCAAAACTGGGTGGGTTATGTTTGTTCTTTATTATAGCTAGTTTTTTTTGGTCACCTACTGATGCGAAACCCATCGTTGACCAGAGCCCTATGCCGCAGCAAGTTACCATTACTCCCGGAGGTGGGACGGTATACGGGACGCTCCGTTAGAGTACTGTGAGTCTAGATCCGTAGTGTTTAGTTGGTCTAACAGGGCTACCTCTAGAAGGATGCCATTTGGTGTTACTGAAAGGCTGATTACTACCTATAAGCAGCTGTATTCCGCTTTCTCATAAACTGCTTATTAAGTCTAATCTACATATATAAAGAGGGAGTACATAGATGATTCAAGAGATCACGTCTGTTTTTAAGAAACCAATTTCATACAACTTTGTTCTTTCGAGGACACAGAAACTATGGAATCTCATTCGCTGTGATGTTCCTTTGTTGTTGTTATTGTAGCGGTTCGTTAACCCCGCTTAGGTACAGGTTTAATCAATCCAAGTCGCCGAGGACATCTAGTGGGAGGTCCAAGAAACGTGCTGTTTCGACGGGATTCGACCAGAGGGAGAGAGGGGTTAGATGAGTCGGCTTACGCACCGGAGTTGATCCATATTTTATCCGTCCAAGGGCTGTCAACCTTTGGGCGACCTAACCCGTTTAGGTGTCCCTTTGTGCTTACTCACACTGCTCTACTTGATATTTATGTAAATGAGGATAAATGCTCCAGGAAATTACCGTGAACAGATTTTTACAAGCAAAATGTGTGTATGAAGAGCACTTTGAGGCGCAATATCGAAGACCGTTATTAATTCGGTTTACTGTTGATGACTTGTAATATATTTTCGTCTCTTTTTCGGCTAAAAATACCTAAAAACTGATTCGAAAGTAAACAAAGTCAAAGAAATTATACATAAAACGCTTTATTTATATAAAAACAAAAACAAAAACCATTTAATTATTATTTTTTGTATGGAAATTAACGATGTGCTGTTTTGCTGATAATAAAATTTCATGAGGAAAAGCATGACTCAACGCCAACTTGCTGGCTGTGGTTAAGAGATACCGGAAATTACTGCAAAAATATTACAAAAATAAAATAAATGAGCATACAAAAGTGCATTGGGTGCCGAAAAGTGCTTTCAATGTAAACAAAATAACCAGACATTGGTTATAAGCTTTCTTTTTGTTTTATTTATTTTATGCATTTTCTGTTGTTTTTTTTTCACTGTTTCAAGAAATAAAAACTGTGACCCAAATCTGTACAGAGCAAGGTGGCCAAGTGGTTAACACCATTGAAAGATAGACGGTGAACACGGTGGACGCGTGGTGCGGTGCAGTGGAAAGTGTGACTGCTTTCAGTCTTCTGTTTTTCTCTCATTTCGACTGTCACTTCATCAAAACAGCTACTGCACAGCTATTAAATTTTATTTTATTTTTTTTTTGTTTTTTTTTTTTTGTTGCTGCTCTCTTCATCGTCTTTTTCTTTTTCTTCAGTTGCAGTTTAATTGTTTCTGTGGTTAATTTCACATACATACATACATACAAATATACATACGAGTATATTGACTGCGCTTGCCTGCGCTTTACCTACAACTTGTTGTCTTTTGAGCGTATTTTTTTTTTTTCTTTTTCTTTCTTTTATTTATACAGTTTTTGTTACCCTTCATTTAACAATGTTTAACGCTGAACTCTCTTGAAAATTGAGGTTTATGAGCCACCTTAAGTTGTTTTTTCGTATATATGTGCTTCTTGTTGTTGCTTGTCACAATGATTTGTTTAGTTTTGTTTTGTTTCGTTTTCTTGGATTCCGTTGTTGAAGGTTAAAGTGCCGCAGTTAATTGCAAGACAGCTATCACCGTTAAATATAATATTAAAATGCAGCGCTGGGCAAAAAAAAAAAAAAAAAAAAAATCCCAAAAAATCTGTAGTGAAACAAACCGCAAATTTGTATAAAAATCCATTTGTATTACATAAAATCGAACTTAATCGGTTTGTGGTATGATTGTTACAATTTCATGGCATCTCTGTCGTAAACAGTGAATTTTTCATGCTAAATGTTGGCATGGACGCGACTAAATTTTTTTTACAGCGAAACTAGGGCTGAGTTTAAGCAAATATGTGGAAGGTTTTGCTCTCAGGTGAATTATCTGCGCTTAACCTTTACCCAAGAGATGGCTGTAAGATGGTTTTTTGATTGTGTGTTAAGAGTGAATACGTGTTCTTTAGTCTTTACATCAACAACAATCAACAAGATAAAACTTTGGTACAACTTAGGTCTGGATAATGTAGCAGGTTAAACTCCTACCTATGCAGACTCGACCCCAGCATATCGCACGACATTAACCACCTCTTCTCAGGTTTCCTATGCCAATTTATTAAACCCCATTTCCTCTGGTCCAATCCCAACGAAACAGCACGTTTCCAGCACTTCCCACTAGTTGACCTCGGCGACCTGTACCTAAGGAGGAACCTCTACAATAACAACAACAACATAAATAGATAAAGAGGGAGGATACGCACCGCTATCATTCGTTATTGTTGTTGTTGTAGCGGTCCGCTAGCCCCCCTTAGGAGCAGACCAGATCAGTCTAGGCCATCGAGGTCAGGAGGTCCAGGAAACGAGCTGTTTCGACAGGTTCGGATTAGATGGAAAGTCGGGGTGAGTAAGTTTCAAGGGTCATACAAAGAGGTGGTTAGTATCTTGCGTTGCATATTTGTATGCGAAACATACGTTGGGTATATCGTCGGGGTCAAGTCTGGATAGGTATGAATTTAGTCGACTATCGTATTGATATCTTAATTGTGCCAGTATTACGCGCGTAGCTCGAGGCAGCTCGACTTCGTCGTCTGCCACAGGTGGTGGTTTAACTCCGAGAACGCCATTCACTGGAGGAAAGTGCAGGAGGATGTTGGCGGACTCTCGGAAAACCGTTCTGTCTGGCGGTTGCTGTCGGTGGTCTTGCAAGTAGTCCTTCCTTTTTGTGCCATCTAGGTGGTGGTTCGGCTTATAGTGAGTGTCTGTTGTAGTATTGCTTAGCGTAGCAACCCATCAATGCTTCATTCTTCCGAACTCATAGCAAAGTCGCTTCGCTTCGCAATTGATGCTCTGGCGATAAGGATTCCAATCACGGTCTTGATGGCTATGTCTGGTCAGGCTAGTAACTTCTTCGACTGTGTCTCGCTAGTCGCCGGCGCTCAGAACGGTGCACATTCTGGCGAGAGCGGATTCTACACACCGGAGTTGACCCAGATTTTATGCTGTTACCTTTTCAACGTCCCAAGTTTGTTTAGGTCAGCAGGTAACTTTAACCTAAGTGTTGACTGTTTGTGCGTTTTTTGCTATAATAATTGATACTCTTAGATGCTGTTGTTGTAGTTATAGCGGTTGGCTAACCCCGCTTAGATACAGGTTTAATCAATCAAAGTCGCCGAGGTCATCTAGTGGGAAATCCAGGAAACGTGCTGTTTCAATGGGATTGGACCAGAGGGAGAGGGGCGTTAGATGAGTCGGTTTAATGGGGCACGTGAAGAGGTGCTTAGTGACGTACGGAGATTGTCCACATGAAGGGCATAAGGGATGGATATGCTGGGGTCGAGACTAGGTGAGTAGGAGTTCAAACTGGTACAGTATTCAGACGTAGGTTGTGCCAAGGTCACGGGGGTCTGTCGAGGCAGCTCGAGCTCGATGTGTAAAGAGGATCTTTGAACCATCGGTGTACTATAACTCTGAGTATGGCTTAACTCATTTCATGATATCTTTTCTTTAATAATAAATAAATTAACGTCGAAATTGGGTACTTTTTCTACATCAGCTCCCTTCCCCTTTGACAGACTGCTCCAAATTTTCCTATCCTCCTAACACTCTGCAAGATTGCGAGATCAAGGAGAAACATTCAATTTTCTTTTCAAGTCGTCGGATCTTTACAGAGATCGTCATGTAAATAGATTAATACATTTGTTCTTATTCTCTTTCTGTCAAAATAAAAAAAAAATAATAATAATATCATCGAATGAAAACACTCAACTACTGCATGCGGGTTAGGGGCTCAAGAATTCACCCCCGGTAAGGCATGCCTGTCGTAAGAGGCGACTAAAATCCAATAGTTCCCGCGACAGTCGGGTCTTTATACCGGACCGACCCGGATTTTTATCCGGCCAAGGACTGTCACTCCCGCAACATACCCCAAAAAGTACTTTGGGGAATAATTTTCGGTTACAACAACAACAACAACTCAACCATGACTTCTTTACAGTTAAAGCCAATATTAAAAATTTCAAAAAAAAATAATAATATTCAACGCTATACAATTTTACTATGAAAACCGTAATATGGAATAAAAAATAAATAAAAACAAAATAGAACATAAATTGGCAACACACTCACACAAACCCACAAGTACCATTGGCTGATTTGAATTTTACCAACCAACAGGATTTTTGACGTTACTCTTCACCCTTTTCTTAACCTGTGCCGCCAACAACCTTGTGACACACGTTGCAACAGCGTTGCACCTTTAATGCGTTGGCTTTGTTGTTACTACAAATGCATGCTCGCATTGCATGTTGTTGTTTTTATTTTTTTTTATATGCATTCACATTAATGCACGCAGCCGTGTGTGCATGTGTGTATGCCTGTTTTGCAGCAGTGTGTTGCTTACCTTTATAGAGTTTATTGACATTTGCAATGCTCCGCTTTACATTTTTCCAACGCCGACGTTCATATGCGTCGTTCGTTGTTTTATAAGTTTGCTTCACACACGATTTTCGCTGCTCTCGTACGTTCAACCACTCTCTCACTCTTTCAACGAGCAAAAGCAAACTGCGCTGCTTATCTGCAAAGTTTCGTCTCACTCTCACTTGTGGACTTGTGCATTACTGCTGCGACTTTGTTTGCTCTGCTTACAACGAGGTTTAAATAATTTTATTAAATATATTATTTAAAAACCACCGAAACATATTTATGAAATTTATTGCACAATAATTGCAGAAATTCAAAAGTTATTTTAATTTGTTGTTATATATTCGTATTGGTTTGTTGTATTTTATCCTTCACTCACTCACTCAAAACTCTCTGTTACACATCCAAGCGCTATGTGACTTTCCACTTTTTTACACTAACTGCACTATGGCGGTTTCACTCGTACACACGCATATCATAAGAGCCACAAATTTGCTTCTTCTTTTTTGTTATTTATTTAGTGTTGTTGTTATTGTAGAAGATAACTTGGCGCTTTGGCGGATGACACTTGATTTTTTGTTTACACTGCATTGAGTGGGCAAAATAAAATGAACAAGACAAGTATAACCAGCAAGCACAGCAACAACAATGTGTTTGTGTATACGAGTGGACATATGAGTCGTTGGTCGATTGCTCTGATTCTTCACATCTTTACTACCCACTGTTCTTAATGCTTGCTTCTTTGTTTGATTTCATTCGCGTGTGCGCAACGCTCAAAGGGGAAGGGATGTATGGATGTTCTACATAGCAATAAAAACAGAATATCTTAAATAACCTTCAACTACTTTTTCGTTTTTGCCTTCTCACCGCACGTTAACTGCTGGTTTGCTACTTCTTGTTTTTATTTATTTTTCACTATGGCTGAGCGTTGATTTCACCACCACTACCATCTTAGAATATATACACACTTCAGTAGAGATTCTTCCCTTTTTTTTTGGATTTATGTAGCTATGTTTTCTTGTTGTTGCTGTGTAGGCAAATTTTGTATGTCCATGCCCAAGGGAATATAAGTACATATTCTTGCCTACTTGGTAATCATAAACTTCTTAACTGCCCAGTTGTTAGAAAAAAAATTCCACTAGTTAAATTCTAAGCTTGACGAACATGCTGGACATGAATTTTTAATTAGATGTTTACGGGTGAAAGCAAATTGTTAATAGAATCATCTATTAGAAGAAAATAATTTGCTAATTCCCTTTTTTAAAATTTTTCTCACCTTAATTCTTTTATATATTTATATTTTTTTTTTCAATAACGGCACAAACACTCATTTTCTCGATTGCCAAATTTTATTAACAAACAATAAGTTTTGCTGACGGAGCGCAGCCAACGTCAAATGCATTTGTTGCTTGCGATGCCACAACCACCGACTGCGAGAAATCGTTTAATTCATACTTTTTGTTTTCATTATTTTTCTTCTAAGAATGCGCGCACATTTACTTAGAGCCATATATTTTTAATACAATAATATCAATTAAAGAGATTCACTCCTTGCTCCTCATGTATTCATATAAAACGTATCTTGGTATACCTATATGTACGAATGTAATATAAAAACAAAATATTTTTTCACTCATTTGAGTAGTTTAAATTTCGCAATACTGCACTCAATCACAATACTTTTCATTTCTGATTTGTTCAAAATCCACTTGCAGTTTGCACCATCAACAACACGAAAACAATATCACCCGAATATTAGTACCTCATTCAGCTGTCACAAAAACAACACTGAACGCGCTAGGCATTGAAAAAGTACACACAGTGTCGCATTCGGCAGGTGAGTTATCAGCCAACTGTCAAAGTGGATGCTATTCGTGGGCCACAGGTGGTGTGTCTCGAGTGTAACAATAATCTAATAATTAATTTGTATTGAGGGTGTACAAATGTATGCGTATTTTTGAGCACTGCTTTAGGGGTATACTTATTTTATTTGTGCATTTTATGGTAAGTTTGTATATAAAAAATGAAAATATATAAGAAATTCCACTCATTAGCAGAGTTTCAATCCACGAATACTAATTAGAGAAAGACGGAGCGAATGTTTATAAATGAACGATATAGGGCTGCCGTCGTCCGTTGTGGATAAAATATGCATTTTTTTTCTTATTTTCTCTACAAAGCTAAATCAAACAAATTCATTTAGAAGAAGGAAGTGTAATAGTGACTACCGTTTAAACTCATAATTAATTAAGTTTAAGTGGATATGCTCTCCTTTCCTGTGAACTCTCCTGTCGAATTGAACGTGGTCTTGTTTAACGTTACTTGTGTGTTATGTGTATAATATATAATTATTTTATGACCTTTGCAACCCTATCCAAACAGCTGTTCTGTGGATTTCTCCGACTGAATACCACTTTACCGCAGAAACCACAACATATGGAGACTTATTTGAGCAATTGTAACTCTACAGCTGTTCCATTCAGTAGTTTGTGATTAGCGGTAGAATTGGTAATAATTAAAGCTTATAAATATTTATATAAGTTTGTGGAAAATTAATAATTTGTTGATATATAAATATATACTTAATTTAGTACATATATAACAAGAAAATACTTCCGACTCAATTTCTTTGCAATTTCTATTGTATTGTATAGTGTGTAATGTGCGTTCAGTGAATGGTAGACTTTCGCAACCAGTCAGGTGGAACATCAGCAGCAACAACAAATTACCTATGACGGAAAACTACTTGTTCGCGAGTGCATTTATGTAAAGAATTACAAAGGTTTTAATAAAGAAAAGCAAATAAAACGAAATAATATAACTAGTGTAAACTACACATAACTAGTGCAATCAACATTATAGTAACAATAAATACGCGCATACACAAACATATACATAACTAAACAAAATGACGAATATGCGACCACCAAACAAAACTATTCTCTTGAAAGTTGTCATACTGGGGGATGGTGGCGTTGGAAAATCCTGTCTGATGAATCGCTTTGTTTCGAATCGTTATGATGAAAACAACTTTCACACAATTGGCGTTGAGTTTATGAATAAAAACATAGATGTAGATGGCGAGAAGTATACACTACAGGTGAGTGATGTTTGGCAGGAAAAGACTGCCGAGCATGAAATGACGATATAAATATAAAGGATAGTAAACGGAAGTTTTAAAAACTGTTTGTTTTGGCGAAAAAGTAGAGCACTATATTTTTTTCGCTGTTACGTAGTCTTTCTTGTACTGTACGACGTATTAAAGTCAAGAGCCTTAAATTGCTTCATATTGTGGCAAGATAAGCAACTTTTTAGTTTTGGGTACTAATATTTATTGATCAAAGAAAACTAAAATAAATGTATTTAAGTTAGGTAAGACAACAATTAGCAAGTGTATGTGTATGTACTTACTCATTCTCAGTTTGTGAGTCTAATTTGAGCTCAGCTGTAAACAAAGGCATTCCTTTGTGTACTTAACTAATATTTAAGATAAAATGGCAAATAAAAGATACATATTTCGTAAAGTTCAAAAGCAGCGGGATTATACTATATACATATACATATCTTCGTATTGTTGAGATACCTAGGCATAGGAATATACGCATGCAAAAAGCATTATTTCCTCTTTTACATTTAATTGCGAATAATACTGCCCATACATATGTAAATATATATATATATGTATATATACATATATATAAATTTGTAAATATATAGTTAGTTTCCTGCAAATGTAAAAAGGCAAAAAAACGATGCTATCAGTTAATCACGCGGATCTAGCTTTCAATTGTCTATACGCTCTATCTATCTGTGTATTTTTAAATAATAATAAACATATGTATGTATATTAGAAACCCCTTTAGAATTCATCAAGTACGATTGTGTTATTTACTGTACATTCAACTTTCATTGTAGTATCAACTCGAATTGGTTGGGCTTGCAAGTCTTTACTTACCAGAAAATTTTTAAATTTTTACTTGTAAAGCGCGCGAAACTACTCATGTACAAAATATATATATATGTATGTGTACATGTTTTTGAAAATATTCTTTATCTTCGATATTGACTGTCCTTAAATATCGTTATCAATAATGGTATGACGTCAAGTTTAAATCGATCTGTGCATACATATGTATGCATAAGAAGTTGAAAACATATCTTAAATCTTTTAATTAAAAACATTTTTTGTTGTCATATTGTTTAGTTATTTTTTTATTAATAAAAAAGAGAAATTGGGTGCATTTATGCATACATACATATATAAGTAAACAAAATATTTATTATTGATCACGGTTGAAATTTAACGTATTTTTACTTGGTTTTTACTTAGAAATAAATTGTTCTTAATAATCTATTACTTATTACATAAATATGCTATACCGAACATAACGCCTTTTTTTTTGTCAAAATTGTGAGTGATTTTTATTAGTTTTTCATTTACTTCCGAAAAAATGAATTTACATTAGGGTGAGTAAAAATTAGCGTCAGCATGACACTACCAAGCCACAAGTAAATGCTTTTTAAACAACAAAAACATCGTTAAATTTTATTTAATAAATTTAAAATAATGTGCATATATGTATGTACATATGTATTTATTTATTTGTGGTTTATTTACAAAAACTTCTATGTGGGACACAAAAGAACATGTGAGAATGTAGTTTTTGAACAGCCTGTGATATTAAGTAAAAAAAAATATGGAAATTTGTTTCTAACCTAACTTTTAAACACGTGAAACTTTATAAAAATAATTATTAGATATAATAAATTGGCAAAATATTTATGCGTATAAATAGCAACTTCTGAATGTGCAAAAAATTCTTAATTTAGAGTTAAATTAAAAACAACAATGATAATATTCGAAACTGAATATAAAAAAATGTTTGTGTAAATTTTCTAACAACACATTTTAAGTGTGCATAGAACCAAATTTTTTTTTTTTTTGGTACAGTCTAATGCAAATAGTTTGCAAACTCATCAATCAGTAGCTAAAACCATTAAAATCCAATAAACATGACAGTTATATGTCGCTTCGATTGTTCATTGCTTTTACGTGCCCCTTTCTTGAGAAAAATACTATAATAGCTCAATATAGTTATATGTTCATATGTATGTATATAAATACAAAGCAACACATTAGTTCGTCAGCCCCTTGCCTTTTATGTCTGAAATGTGTAATTGTAAGCGATATCCGATCAGTAACTGACGATCTGGCATACAAAAGAGTCGTTAAATTGTACAGAATGCACGTTTTTGCGGCCAGTGCATATGTACATACCTACATTTGTAAATATATATATGTAGTATGTTTACATTAATTCATTATACAACAATAACTTGATTTTGCCGGTATTGAATTATTTCATTTATTTATTATTTTTATTTTTATGAGTGTGCATATGTTGCCATCTGTAAGTGATTTAAATCTTGAATGCATTTTTGAAATCTTTTTTTGAATTATTGCTTTATATTTGATAATATTGGTGTTGACTAAATATTTTTTTTATAAATTCTCATAATTTTTAAAGCATGTTTTAGTATAAAATTAATAACTTTTCCTTATGAAAATAGCAAATAAAATGTTAGAAATCGTATTAATTCATTTTATTTACATAATTATATTAATTAGTCAATTATAGTGAATTTTGATATAAATCACTGATAATTAGAGCTCAAAATATATTTTTAAAATGATATACAGGGCTTTCTATTTCGTGATTTTAAAAGTACAGGGCTATATTTTGACATCTGTCAAACCTGACATGGTTTTTAGTTAAAAGTCAGGCATTTATGGAAATGGATCGTGCGACAGCGGCACAAAGCATACAAATTCCTTAGTAGTTCTTAAGAGAAGATTATGGTGCAATTTTAAAGGAATTTGAAGTGACTGGTTGGGTTAGAATTATTGTAAGACCTCTGCATCAACGTTTTGCTCGTTCGCGAGATGGTCATTTGCAAGATGTAGAATTTCACATATATATTATAGATTAAACCTTAAAAAAAAGAAGTTTCATAAAGAAAAAAATATTTAAAATTTTTTTAATTGCGTTTATTTTCGAAACCGCAAAATGGATAACCCATTCCCAAAAAAGTATTATAATATTTTGCCTCTATGTTTAGTCTCTTTCCTTTGTCTTTACTTTCCATTGATATTTGCGCTGTTTATATTATATACATACATACATACATACATACATACTTAGGCATTAAACAATTGAAATTTTTAATTATAAATTTCTTACGAATTGATTAAGCATTAGTACATATATATGTAAATACTTAATTTGAGTTTGTAAGACACATCGTTTATGTGTTTGTGTGTGTGATTGTGTCAAACATGTGTTTGTGTGAACGACGATACTGAACTGAATGCTTTCAATATGATTTCCATATAAATCACCATTTAAACCCAAGGCACAAACAAACAAAAAATTATACTATAAGAGGCTTCCAAATTTATTGTATTTTTTCTACAAAATTGTAAATTAAAAAAAAAATAAATGAAAAATAAAAAAAAACGATATTAGAAAAATTGAACACAAAACACTAAAAAAAACTACAACAGATTAAAGTTTTAGTATTTTCAATTTAAACTGGTTCGTAACTAAAAAATATCTCTTGTAGATTTGGGATACAGCTGGTCAGGAGCGTTTTCGCGCACTACGCACACCCTTCTATCGTGGCTCGGATGTTTGTATGCTTTGCTATGCCGTCGATGATCGAGATAGTTTTCGTGGCCTAAAGCAATGGCGTGGTGAATTCCTCAACTATGCTGATGTTAAAGCAGATAAATTTCCTTTTATTGCAGTCGGCAATAAGGTAAGAATGCATTTTTGGCATACATTGGTTGTTGTTGTTAATAAATTAATAAAATTATAAATATTTCTACTCGCAGCTTGATATGGCACCCAAATATCGGCAAGTGAATTATGAAGAGGTAGAACAATGGTGTCAAGAGAATGGCATTACCAGTCTCATTGAGACATCCTCGAAGGCTGCCTCCAATGTGACCGATGCATTTGTGTTGGCCGTACGTCAGTGGAAGCATATGGAACGTGTTGCCGAAATTGAATTACGACAACATAATGATACTATCGATCTAACACGTAGCATACGTTTAGCGCAAAATCGTTTCTGCTGTACTGGTGGTGGTGGCGGTAGTAGCGCTGGTAGTACAACATCTGCCGAAGCTGAAATGGAGGATGAATCGATGCGTAGTGGTAATAGTGGTAGTCGTCCATCGCCCTTACGTTTTGTAAAGCGTAACGCAGCGGCTGCCAGGCAAACACAAGCAACGAATTTTCAGCTTTAAATGTGTACTTTACGAAAGTTTTATTTTTATTTTTTTAATTATATTTTTTTTTATTTACATAATTTCTTCCTTAATTACGTACACATATTAAGTAGCTGTAACATAGAAAAAAAACTCAACTAGTTTAAAACTAGTACAGAGGCGTGTAACGTATGTATCTGATAGACTACACCAAAGGCAGCTAAGGGTTAAAGGCATTAAAGGGTATGCAGCAAAGAAGCGAGTCTAAAACGAAAAAAAAAATACTAAATATAAAATATAAAAATATTAAATGTAATTAATTAAGCGCTGGAAATTGTTGTAAAAAATGCTCAAATTGTTAATGGCGTGGAGTCGGCGTCAATGAACAATTTACAAAGAATGAACATACATGCAAATATTACTCATACAACGTGTTGTACACTGTTGATATAACAACAATAACTTTATATTTTTGTATAATTAAACTGCATATACTATATTCCATTAACATTTACGATAATTTAGTTTAAGTTCCAATTATATTTGCTTTGTTTGCAGCAGCCGCATTGAGTATTAATGAGATATTTTTTTTTTTTTTCATTATATGGAAATGTTTTAATATTTACAAAGTGTGCTTTTATATTAATGCTTAAAACAGTTAAAATGATTTTTATAAAAATAAATCTAAGTAAAAAGCAATGCATTAATTTGTATGTAAAACCTAACTTGCCTTTATTAGAAGGTAAAAAATTATATTTTTTTGGGGTTTTTGGAAACCTTAGTAAAACAAAAAAAAAAATCTTAAAATTATTTTATATCAAAATTCGACAAATTTGCTCCTTAAAACAACGCTAAAAATTATGATTTGTTTAAAATTAAAATTAGTTATTTAAGTATTAAACTCGTATTTCTCTACAAAAGATTATACTAATTGCTGACATTCCAAATTTTGTGTTAATTTAATTTTTGAAATTATGTATCCATTCGAAAGTATTTGATATTTGATATCTGTAATTTAATACATACAAATGTATGTATGTAAATCGCAAATTTCGATTTCAATCAATTCCTAGTGCACTAATGATATTCCCGGTGAAATTTAATACCAAATATTAATTTTTAAGCTTAGCACAATTTATGCAATTTATATTAATTTTTTTTTGCTTACTTTTTAAGTGCCTCAAAAAATCAAAGAGACGCAAATTTAAAGCCGTTTTCTAGCAGATATGAGTAATTACATATATATAATTTTTTAATTTCTCGAAAAACTATTTTTTTTGTGGTGCAAAATACAGTAGTTTATGTTTTCAATACTTTTTTTTGACTCCATAAAAAACCGCATATTTATTAAATACCTACATATGTCGCCTGCAGCGCCGAATGGGAAAGCGAGTACCCAATAAAATTTATTTAATTTTTTCCCAATTCCGCAATATTTTCAAGTACAGCCACCTTCACTGAGGTATACATATATATGTATGGTTTTCGAACTTCTCATTCCATATGCCTATTTGTCAATAATGAATTTAAATAAATAAAAAATAACTGAAATATCTTGAAATGTTTACATAATAATAACCTTACTAGAAGATTTTTAACTGAAACCCATAAAAGTATCTTCGAAAGCACGTCAACTTTGTGTTTGGTTATTTTTTACTAAAAAGTAAAATTTATAAATAAACCATTTGTGCCTTGCTGCAATTTAAATAACTAAGTTATAAACTTAAATAATTATTGAATTGTGTAAAGAAAATATCCGATGAGAATTTTACAAAAATCTTTTCTATTCCATTCTAATTTTATTTGCTTTATTGAGTGAATACAATATATAACAAATATATATAAAAATTGTATATATATTCATATAATTGATATTTTTAAAATATTATATATCAATTATTTGCATCCGAAACCTTTTTGTAATAAGTATACGTAACCAAATGTATTTTATTTAACTTTTATTTGTTTTGAAAATCACCGTAAGATGATATTTTTAACTGCTAAATTATGTATTTATGTCTATCAAAAATATAAAACAAATATAAAATCTTCGTGACGGCTGTTTTTTTTTAACTTTGAGAAGGAGAGTGAATTTCTTCATGTTTTTTTTTCTTTCAGTAGACTGCGGTGGATGAAATCCGCTAAGGGTTAAGGGCTGTCAACCTTTCGACGGCTTAAAACCTTTTAAGTCAGCGCAAAATTGTAGTCTATGTGCATCAATGGAGCAATACCTCGCACCAAAGTCGCTTCAAATTATTCTAATAAATGCTGGCGTTGGACCCTCTTCTGATTTGACGGATTTATTCTGCTGCGTGTGCCAAGGACGACTCCAACATTCTTCCAACTCGGTTAAATGTCATCATCATGTCTTGTCATTTTAAGACATCTTGTTGTCTGTGCTCAATTGCGCTACAAGCCTTGGCGGTTGTGCCTTCTGCATCCGTACTCACTTTGGGTAACCACCCTCAGACCTTCACGGTTCAACGGAGTTCCCCGCTGCTAGACTACCAACATTCCTCTTCCCCTCTATCCACATCTAACTCCACCTCGCGAGCGGGAACTACACAGCAGATCCTAGTGTCCTGCGCAGTATGCCTCATGTATCAGATCATAGTGCACCTGAAGGTGACGTTCGGCAAATGCTATTCTTGCTCTGGCTGTTGTGATTTTTCGACGTGCTCTGACCTGTGCATCGCCCGTGAGTGGAGTGATACATACGTTGCCCCACGCTGCAGGATTCTTCGTCCGTCATACAATTGCAACACGACAACCAGCTAACATCAACATGTGACATCCCTTCCAGTAGGTCATGCAGCAGCATCACGCAACAACCGACACCACTACGACCGGCGTCACCATGGGTAAGCGTACTTCCCGCTAAATAGTTGTGTCCGCTGCCGTTCGCTTCACTCCGGCAGACCAAATCACGGAAAAGCGCCTTATTTCCTTACTGAAGCGACTCCACTCCACTGGGGCAAGCACGCTCTGGCCCATATTCAAATCGTTGTGCAAATCGACGAGATACATGAGATGACCGGGTGGAAATTTCAATCGGCCGCCATGACTCATCAGACCCGACGAAGTGCTCGAGCTATTTAGATGATTTTAACCGATTGGAAAGGCGAAAGCCTCCAAATACATCGGAATAAGCATGCTGGTGTGATAAAATATCAGGGGCCAGTGCGAGAAGAATACCGTGCCAAGCTTTTCAATATATAAAAAAAATAGTTTATGTCGTCGTTGATCATCTAACCGGAGGTTCAGGAAACGAGCTGTTTCGAAGTGGTTGGAACAGGGAGAGAGATACAAAGGTGTTAGATGGATTGGTTTCAAAGGAAATGCAAAGAGGCGGTTAGTGACGTGGATACCTCATATGCAACGATCTTCTGGAATAGTCTGTATGAGTAGGAATTGAGTCGCCTACAGTATTCTACCAGATTAATTTTGATAGCATTACTCGGGTTTCGCGAGGTAGCTGAAGCTCTTGGTCTGCTGTGGATTTTAATTGGACTCCGAGTACGCCATTCGCGGTAAGAGAGTTTTTAAAAGTGTTGACGTACACTGTGAAGGCGTTTGAAACCTGTCGGCATACCGTTCTGTCCAGCGATTCTGTTCTAAATTCTTGTAGTCGAGTACTCCCTTTGGGATGATTCCTACGGAGACATGATAACAGACATTGCTCACCCAGAATAACATTATGATCTTTAACTGGAAGCATAAATTCTTACTTGGAATATTATAACTTTTTCTGTAATAAAAACAAAACTGTATTTAAGTATTGTATTTGGTAATATAAAGTCGCAGAAATCAGTTCTGTAGCTCCACTGTATGACATATAAATATGTATATATACATTCATCTCAAATTAAAACAATTAGATCCAATTAAATATCATTTTTATTCAACTATTTATATAATTTTAATTAATTACAGTTTTTGTGGAATGCATTGGAATTTCAATAAGTTTTCAATAACGATCTATGCAATTTGATCGTTAATTATTTATAATTTTTTTTTATAGAGTTAATGAAAAAAAAATATTCAAATTTCTTGTATTTTGTACAGTAATTTTATAAACCTAATTTGTTCAATTTTTTACAATTAAAAAAAAATATCTTAAGAAATTAAGAAAAATCAATGTAAATACTTAAACTATACCTGTGAACCCTAAAATAAATTGTTTTCCTTAAATTATATTTCAAACAATTTTTTATTTTAGCTTTTTCTTTCAATAAAACATGAATACCCAAAAAATATTTTTCTATATTATATGTATATGCCGGAAGTAAGCAAAAGACGATTAAAATTAATTTTTTCATCTTCATCTATATATCTAGGTAATAAGTACGCCACTACATACCAGAGATGTTCAACTAACGAACCGATGTTATTTCGTAATGTTAATATGAAAAACAAAGAAAACAAAAGGATTTTGTTTCGTTTCGGTGCTATGTTATCGAAACGGAATGAATTTGTTAAACTCAACGTCAACATCCGTTTTAAAATCGCCGCTTGTTATGATATTAACAGCACACTGCAATTTTAACATTATCTGTTAACGGTTTAACATTAACGAAAGCATATGGTTTCGGATAAAATAGAAATAAAATTTCTTTTTATAACTGTTTTAATGATATTAAATCCAAATATTTCAATCGAATTGAAATTGTTAATGTTGAAACCGCGCAAACTTTTTATTAAAGTTAATTTTAATATGGCTGCTTGCTTTGATATTAACAGCACATTGCAATTTTAACATTTAACATTATCTGTTAACGATTTAACATTAACGACAGCTTTTCGCTTCATCCTGGGCACATACTAAATGGTTTAAGATTTTTATTTTTATAACAGCTGCTTGGGAACGGCGCTTTGTTTTTCTATTTCTTTTTTTTTTTAGCGACTCGTTCGGCATACTGTGGCCGTTAAATCTTTAAAAAAATATATATTGTAAGTTTTATAATTATATCACTTAAGTAACAGAGAAATATTAATTGTTATTTTTTAAATATTGCGCATTTGATTATAGCGCACGCCATAAAATTTTTGATTTTTTTTTTTTTCATTTAATAACACATTCGATCTTATTTCCTTTTTTTGTTATTTAACAATTACTTATGTTACTCTGTTTATCCACCTGCCTCATTACACTCACTTCTTATAACCATAGGAGTTTATCGCCACATATTCCTTATCGCACAACAGCAACAATTCATACCATTGATTACCATCTACGCGCTTCAATTCCAAATCACCACCATAGACCGCAGGCAGGCATTTCGGCGAGATATGTTTGTGCAGCGATTCGCGATCGGTGCCGTGGAAATAGATACGCGAACGTAACTTCTCACGCAAGAATGGCTTGAACAATGCAAAGACCACATTGAAGATCTTCGGTTGGTTCACAATATGTATGGCCTTGATACGTAGCGGCACCGAATCTTGCAGCCAATCGACAATACGCTTCGCAAATGGTGGCGTAAATTGCCAAGTCTGCTGCAAACTCAAACCATCCATATCGAATATCACAATGGCGCCACTAATTTGTGTCTCCGGCTCCAACATGGCTGCCTCGAGGAAAAGAACAGCACCCTTGAAGACCTCATCGAGAGTGACTTCCTTGTGCTTCCAGCGTTCTATGGGGGAGATAATGGAAAATGTATAAAACAAAAAAAAAATACAACAAAAAATAAGTTGTTGTAAACTCTACTTACTGCCCAGCTCGAGTACTAAAACACGACGGCCGCATTGATCGCGATTTGGAAAAACTGTGAGTATGTTATGCTTGAAAATGTTGGCTTCTTTGCTGGGGGTAAGGCCATCATAGACGTTGGCATGCTTTTTTTTGAAGGAATAGTAGCGTTTGATCTGAAAACAGTAATTTACAAATATAATTGGTGGTTAGTAATTATTGTGAGACTAATATTTGCTCTAGGCTACTACCAAAGTCTGGCTTGTTAATTGCGCTTGCATTAAAATTCTTATAATTGCAAATTAGTATACTTAATTGCATGCTTACAACGAAACTGCATTCACCTCGGCAATTTTTGTTTTTTTTTTTCTATTTTTATACCTTTCATGCACTTGAAATGGTACGGGTTACCCATTATGCGGTTCCGAAAATAAAGGTAAATAAAATGCATTTAAAAACATTTTTTTAAGAAATACTTTTTATGGTAAAGTTTGCACCCTCGTATTATGTGTGAACCACTACCTTAAGACCGCCCGGCGAATTTTCACTTTCAACCATTTTAGGTAAATTTTTTACCATGTGATCTCAGCCATAACTTGACGAATGTTGGTTTTTAAATGCTCAGGGATTAAAGGTTTATTCGCCCAAAACACAGTATTTCGCATAGCCCCACTATTGACATTGCCTAGACAAGGGATTCGCGTCCGGGAATTTTCTCTCGCTATAAAGCCATATTCGGTGTTGTGTGGCATATGGCACCATCTTCTTGAAACCACATATTGTCCAAGTCATTATGCACAATTGCAGACCAAAAAAAAGTCACTTATCATACGAACAACTCCGAATTGACAGTGACACTCTCGAAGTTATCGTTTTCAAAGAAGTAACATCCAATCACAACTTCGGACCAAAGAACGCAACAGACAGTAGGTTTTTCTGGGTCTAGTGGCCCATCTTCAATTAGTTGAGGTTTCTCGGCGCCTTCAATGCGATAATTTTTTTTTTTCGTATCCGCCAAGTGGCAAATCTGCCTCGTCGCTGAAGATTTTTTTTTTTCGAAATTTCGTCGTACACGGCTTGTTGTTCAAGCTTCTAAGCGACGTGAATGCTGAGAATGGCCAGCTGGCTTCAGTTATTATGCTATCTGGACTTTATAGGTGTAAGTCCAATTGCAAATTATGCTATAAAGTGCCGTAAGAAAGTTCCAGCTCTTGAAAGGGTCGAGAAATACACATGCCTACCTTCGGCTGTATTTTCACTTACTGTGATGATATTTGAGGTGGAACGAGGAAATGAAAACCCAGGCCTTACAATATCTCTAATCGGTCCAATCTCTTCAAATTTCTTTAAAATTTTACCAATTGCTTGAGTGGTTGGACCATTACATGCACCGTAATCTCCTCTCAAAGCACGAAACCGGGCTACGTTTGAATCACCATCTTTGTAGAAGATTTAAAGAATTTCAAAGCGTTGTGTAACTGTTAAGCGATGCATTTGCACAAATAAAGCAAAACATGTTTGGTCTGACAGTTTAATTTGCGCACTGCTTTTGAAACCACGAAATGAATAACCCCTTTATTAAATCCTTAAATGAAATACCATTAACTTGATATGGCCATGAACGTATAAAAACTTCGTCATGACCGAATTCAGCTCTTCTCTCCTGTTTATATTTTATTTTTTTTATTTTTTCTACAAAATTTTTTTTTTTATATATATTTTACACACACTTATCTTATGTGTTTTCCAATTGTTTTGCTTACCAAGTCACGCGCACTCTCTGGATAAAATTTACAGGGTCGCAAAAAACGCACTAGCCATTCGTCATTGTCCTTCGGGTAGAGCAGGTCTGTTTCAGCTGTAAGGAGAAGGAGAAGAAAGTTAATATACAAATTTTTAGCAATTAAAAATGTTTATAAAAGGTGACTAGTATTAAATATAAAACATAGACACATTTATCCTTAAAATACGCCAGAGCCCCGCGGAATAACAATCGTACTTTTATGAAGGATATTTAGGCTAAGCAAGTCAATCGGTTCTTTACTGATACAACCATTTTTTTTTACAAAAGGTCCAAAACTGCTCCTCAGATCGATTTTTGTTCAAATGAGAGGTGAAGGAGTCACCTTTACGAAGAAAATACAACAACTATGCTTCATTGTTTAACTAAGAACTGGGTTGGGCTTCTAGTTCCCTTTGGAATTTTCTCTTATGAAGTCACATAAATGAGTACTATAGTTGAGAAAATGCGTTCTGTCTGATGCTTGCCCAGTTTTCTTGAATGCAAGAAATGAGTTTCTAGATGATTCCATATCTTCTACTGAACAACTCCGACAACGGTGGTTAGGCGAAATCACAAGCCTCTCTGCGGAAAAAAAATCGTACGATGTTTCGTCAAAACACCTACCATGGAAGGGCTATAACTTTAGAACTGTAAGATTTTGCGTGGAAACGAAACCGGAATATGATTCTTAAAGTTGTTCAACCCCTGTGTAAATTTAAGCGCAACGTCTATAGGAGTACAGCTTCCTGGATTTCACATGTTTCTTTAAAGAAAATCATCTACGTAGGAATACCAGTTCACTTCCACGATTTTTAAGCTTCTTCTAAGAGACAATAAGTCTTATGCATCTATCACATACATACTACAATGTGGTGTCTTCTGAGGCTTAGTTTTGAATACCGTAACAAACTGTTACCTTATTCTCTTCCAGTTCCAAGTGGTTACAGTAGATGTTAAAGGGTAGACCTAATTAAATCCATTCGGTCCAAAGAGCTTGTGCCCTCTAAGTCTAAATAAAACTGTGGCCGGAGAGTCCGGGATAGTGGAAATCGTCGAGTCTGACCATCCTGCAAGCACTGTTTCGATTGCCCAGGAGCTAAATATTAAACAAAATGCAGCTTGGAACCAAATCAGTTTACGAGAAAAAATCTCATGGACCGATTTTCCACCTGTGAATCCCTGAAGAATTGTAAAAAAAAGTCAATCCATTTCTGAGGTAGATGGTGACGGGTGATGAAAAGTCGGTCACTTGGAGCAGAAAATTGTCGTGGTCGAGGGGCAGTAAGCCTCTACAAACGGTCTCCAAGCCAGGACTGAGGGCCAGTAAGGTTTTGTTGTGTGCTTGGTGGAACCGCTGTGTACTGCTTCCCTGCAACTTAATTCGTACCTGTACTGTCAGCTTTGGCCAATAAGAGGGAAATTGTGTTTCATGAGGACAATACCAGACCTCTTACATCGACAGTGAGTCGCCAGAAACTTCGAGAGCTTAGATGGGAGTAATTACCATACGTTCCTGTCTCTGGCGAATCATTTGGCTGGTAAAGCAGTGGCCTCCAGAGAAGCTTGTAAAAATCGATGGCCCCAAATTGTTGCGAATAGGGACAAGGGTTTCTATGAGAGAGGCATAATGGTATTACCTTCAAATTGGCAAAAAGTTATCTAACAAAACGGTACATATTTGACATGAGTTCGAATAATTCTAACTTCAATTTAATGCAAAAATAATGGATGACTTTTTACTATACCAATACACATACATACACACATATATGGATAACAATTTAAAATCATCAATGAAGCAAATGACACATTAAATGCGAGTAAACAAGAGAAGATAAGATAATTAATTACCGAAATAATGAAGAGAAAATAAAGTAAATAAAAAAATAAAAGAAAATAAGGTAAATAAAATATAAAATATAAACTACTTCCTTGGCATTTTATTATTTATTTGTATTTTTTCAAAAAACGTGAACTTAGTTCCGTATATTTTCCGTTTAAAATAATTATGTATTACTCGCGTACATACAAAATGTGTGTTAAGGTGTTTCCTCTACAATTTGATATTTATACATACATATTCGTATGTATGTCAAAAATAGTTAGGTGCAAAGATCAATGCTGACGCTTGAAAATCTGTGAATTTTTAAGGCGAAAAACACGACGTTTATGACCATGATGTTTATGTTGACATTTTTGATACTGAGTCAGCGTTCGGTTGACACTGAATTTTTTTTTTGTAGCACAAAGCACATACAGATACTTTTTATTATGTAATATTTTTAGCGACATTTGTACGTAATATATATATTCATCTTGTTTTGTTTTATTTCTTACTTCACCTGCTGCTTTCCACGAAAATCGCATGGAAATAATTTCAGCTGCTTTTATCACCTTTATTCTTCCCTTACTTGACGATGACAGCAAAACATCGCAATGACCTTCAACTTGCATCACTTTAACTTAAAGCAGCGTAAGTTAAGTGAACGTGCATTTTACTGATAGACATATAGTAGGATTTAATATTTGTTGTAAAAAGTTAAATGATCATTTAAGAAAAATAATACCTTTGGGTAAGGCTAATATTGCTGATATTTTTCGGTATGTCCTTAAGCAAGTCCTAATTATTGCGATGTATTTAAAGGCAGCATCGTAACGATAAATTCTAAATTAATTCCGCTTTACCCGAAGCGAATTGCTGTCGTTAGTGTTAAATCTTTAACAGATAATGTTAAAAGTTAAAATGTAAGTGTGCTGTTAATATCCAAGAGAGCAGCCATATTAAAATTAACTTTAACAAAAAGTTTGTGCAGTTTCATTATAAGCAATTTTAATTCGATTGAAATATTTGGAAATAATATCATTTAAACAGTTATAAAAAGAAATTTTATTTCGTTTTTACACGAAACCATAAGCTTAAGTTAATGTTAAATCCTTAACAGATAATGTTAAATGTTAAAATTGCAGTGTGCTGTTAATAATAACATAGCGAGCAGCCCTATAGAAATTAACGTTAACGATGAGTTTGTGCGGTTACAACATTAACAATAACATTTCGTTCATTTCGTTTCAACAACATAGCGCCGAAACGAGAAAAAATTATAAATAATAATAAATAATATTTTTCATATTAACACAATGTAATTACATTGTTTCGTTAGTTGGGCATCTCTGGTTTCAATAACATTTCATCAATTCTACTTATAAAACCTGTAGAAATATACCGAACCGTACTAAAAGAGTTGGAGTCGTTCTAATTGGCTTTCAGTGGACTCTGAGAATAGCAGTTAAGTCTTAACTAAACTGAATGTGTACCGATTGAACAACTAGGAATATTTGACTGTGAACGATAGAGCATTCCTGTTATATGGGTTAAATTGATATTAAAAATGGTACTAAGCTCCGAGTGGTTTTGGCAAATTTACACTTTTTGTGCCTTCACAAGGATTTAAGGAGCACCAATTCATGAAATGGAGAGATTTTCTTATTGGAGCGTCCAATTTACCATAGTTAGGCCTCTAGTTGAGGTCGGGTATGCAGTTACAGTTAGTTGGAAGGCTATACCCAATTATACACTCGCGTTCATGACGCACGCCCTGGAATAAGTCTCATGCGAGATGACGCCATTTGTAGAAATGTCATGCAAAGCAAATAAGTTTTTGATCTGAGCGCCTTTATGGTGTGATATTTCTAAAGACACTTGTTCTTGCTTAAAAACATTGAACACCAGAAACTAGAATATAACGGTATCATGGAGAAGGCACTCGTATCATTATCGATACACAAGACACCGACAACCGAACATTACTAAATCTTCAATTTTTATGTACCTGAATAAATCATCAATGAGTGAGCAAGCTGAGCTGAATGAGATATCATAAAAGAGCGAGCAGACAGCGAAGTCTAAAACTTGAAAAAATTTTTAATCTTATCTATAACGTAGATATTTCTGGAGAGAAAAATAGTTCGTTGGGGTTAGAATATCTTAGATCGTTCATTTATGCTTGGCAGATTGTTAGCTCTACATAGAGGACTTACTTTTTTAAGTAGGATCTTAGTGAGCATTGGGTAATCACCGATCCGAGCGAGATCTCACATTTGGGACTAAGTATCACAACCTTAACTTGGCTGTGAAGGACTAGAGAAACCAATTTTTCATCATTACTTCTGAATTGAGAAATTATTGATAAGCTATTCGGAGAGAGTTTTCGATTAGTGGGTGTAATAGTCATGAAGCAAACAGTTGGTTAATGTCCTGCGACTATTTAGGGATCGAATCTGGATAAGGAGGTGAGTAGCTGCGCATACTACAATATCCAAAGCTCAATTGTGTCTGTATTATTTGGGTCTATCGAGACTGTTTCGAACTCTTCGGGCATCTCGTTTGAAGCGATCTGTGTTTCGGTTCTGAATGTGAGTCTGTACAGTCAAGTACTCTCTTCCCAATGCACCTGAGGGGTGGTTCATGTACATGTCCATGTAAAGGGTGGTCCCTGCGGTAGCATCCCCACAGGTATTGCCATTTGTCTTGTAGGTTGCAAGCTTTCTCCTTATGGGTACTGGTGATTGGCGACATGATGGTTTTGTTGCGAATTTGTACACTTGACTTGCAGGCTGTCGAATGTGGCTCCCAGTAACTTTGTGCTATTTTCAGTCATTGACTTTGTCATTCAGGTCAAGCGAATACTCTTTCGTACAGGTAAAGAAGAGGGTAGTAGAAGGGTAGTAGAAGGTATTTCTTTGGTTGTGAATTATAAATGTCAATCTGTGAAGAAATGAAAAAGGTCGGAGATATAGCAGTTAAATTTTTTACAACGACGAGGTTATCAATAATCCCAGAAATTGTCGGCATATGAGAACAAGAAAGCACACACTTGTGATAAAGAAAGCTTCGCATTGTATTTACTAAAAAATACTGGCAAGAGAACACCACTTTGGAGAGCCCCTTGTTTAACTATTCTGACTTTGAAGTTGCGACCTCAAAAGTTTTATCAATGGCTCTGGTGTACCACTCAGATAAAACACGGCCCGCCTCTTGAGCCTTTTTCTTTTCACTTGTCAGCAGGCCTTCAAATTGAGTTAACTTTTCGTTCAAATACCCAGCGGGGATTATTCTCTTTCTTTTGCAGACTTAAAACAACTGTCGGTTAAGCGTCTCATTCGATTTGCGCCTTGAAGTTTTCTTTCGATAAGAGAGACCTATAGCTTTCAACTGTCTTCGAAGAGTCTTGACTATTAATTAAGGCTCAGTTTTTTATGTTAAATACTCGAAGTTTGGTTAGATCTTAGTATATTCGGCTACTGCGGCCTCTACATACATTGTCATATTTTATAACAAAAATATATTGCATGCTATAAAATATATATTTTTATTTAATAAACATACATACTATATATAAATAATTTTTTACTTTTATATCTAATGGTTAGACAACAATAAACCACAGATTAATTAATGACCATATGGGAAAAGGTTTTAAAATTAGTTGAGAATCTTACGTAGAATACGAGAGAACTGTTAAGGCTACACTGCTAACTTGAAGCCCTTGACATGAACCTCGTTGACAATAAAATGACGGTATTTATTGCAGTATTTATACACGCTAATCAATGTAATTATTATGTGAATAATTTTAGAAAAGTGCTTTTTACATTTATTTATAAATAATTTTCAAATAATTATTTGAAATGTGTGTGGTGTGGTGAAGGTGCAATTACAAACGTGTGTAAATATTTTCTTATGGGATTTCAAATGCAAACTTGGTATTATTTGTTCATAATTTTACACATTGGAAAGTAGTAAAAAGTTGAAGTAAAATAAAATAATAATAAACATGACCTTTGCGCCTTTTAGTGATTTTTTTATTTTTTATAAATATTCAAAAGAAACCAAGTTGAATGCCAATAAATTTCTAAGTTAGACAAAAAGTGCAAACGTCTTTTCAGCTTTCATGTAGAAAGAAGTTCTTCATTAAAAATTTTATGAAATGTTTTAACTTACCTTCCAATAACCGCCTTAGTTCCTTAACCGCCTCTGATTTGGTTTGTGGTGATTCACGCAATTCCTTTGCCGCCACCTCCTTGGCACGATCTGTTGGTTCGCCCAATTCGAATTGCAACTTGAATTCGCCCAGCTGTATCGAGGGTAATTCGGAGACTTCAGAAAGCATTGTTGGAACCCCTGCAAAAAGAGCATTATTGTGATTAAATATAAAATTAAAGTCCGTTTTTTTTTTTTTTTTGCTAAAAATAAGTTAAGGGGAATTCTATTGTAAACTAGGATTAAATTGGTTTTAAAATAAACAATTAAACATAATCCCAAGGCAGCTTTGATCGATTTATTTAAAAAAGGCATATGTATGTACATTTTACAAGTTTTTCTATGGGATTTTGATGGCATGAATTATTTTATATTTTATGACGGGTTTGAAGTTTGCCCTTTATTGTGGGTTAAATCTTCTCAATATCTTATAAAAAGGGGTAACTTTCACGTATTCACGTATATACTGGCTGAAAGTCAACTCTTTTTTAAAGAGAGCGCCTAAGCTGATCTCTACGACAATTAGCAAAAAGAGCCCAACCATCAAGCAAACTCAGAACTAAAGCACATTATTCTAAAGTCCTTTTCATTAATGAAGCAAAATTTTCCAATGTTTCATCTCCAATCATTTCGAGTTAGAGTAAAGAGTTGTGATCACCAGTTTGTGGAATTGAGACGTACTTGTATTAACGTTATATAGAGGGACTTCTTGGGTTTATCTTCCTCTGACACTTGAAAGGATATTCTCTGGAGAGATTTTATTTTTGACCTTATTACAAATTTATCTCGACGATTGTGGCCTCTTCTCAGCAGGAGAGCTTAGAATCGATCTGTATAGTACTACGCCCAAGGGATATGAGTTGAGTTGATATGACTGCCGGCTTGTGGCTAGCATAATTAGATTTTGATGTCACCATGAAGAGCCTATAATCTTCTCAAAAGCGCGAAGTGTTTGGTATGTCTAATAAATACTGTGAGATTTTTGCTTGCCGGGGCTTGCTCAACCTGGTAGTCGACTTCGAAAATACTATTTCGCGCGAATGTGATATCAAGTGGTGCTGTCAATAGTAGAGGTAGTGTTCAACAGACTCTTTTTAGCACTGGAACTGGCTAGATCCACTTTGCGTTTTGTTGTTGCTGTTGTAAGCACAAAAGTATTCCTCAAAGTAATTTTTGGGGAATGTAGCGGGGGTGACAGTCCTTGGACGGGAAAAAACTCGGCTCTTTCCGGTATAAAGACCCGATTGTCGCGGGAACTATTGGATAAATTTTTGAACCCCTAACCCGCAGGGGTCGTCGTAGAGGTCATATAATCCACCCTTTCCGGAATTCGAATTCGTGCTCTTTACCTCGGCTACTCCGAGTTCCCAGCAGGGAGAAATGGGTAGATAATTACAATACTTCAAGGGATAGCCAAAAAATATATACGGACGGGTCAAAGCTTGAGGGGAAAGTTGCCGGATGTGACTTCCTTCCTCCGATAGAACTCTCGGCTGGAGATATCTGCTATCAGAGAGTATGCAAAGCAAATTGCAATAAAATCACTCGGCTCGCTTACGCTAAACTCCAAATTAATGTTGAACTGTCGCCGATCTCAAACAGGACAGACTATTTCCCGTTGAGTCCCTGGTCGCAGAGACATCGAGAGATACTGTAAGGCGGATGAACTTACTAGGCAAGGTACGACCGAGTAGATTCCTCTCGATAAAGAACGCATTGGTTTTGCTTCTCAAGGAATTCATATATGAACCAGCCGCTACAAGGTTTAATAACATTACAACCTGCCGCAAAACCAGGCACATATAGCCGAAATGGGTCAGGAAGAGATCACGAGATGTGTACTCCTTCAACTGTCTGATAGAACGACACGCAAAAATACTATGGGCTCCCTACAGAAGATGCTGCTGAAGCTGCAAGAAGGATGAGGAGGAGGAAGGGATCACCCATCTCTTGGGAAACGAGGTCTCATAGTTTTTGGACCCTACTGCTGGATGGTCTATCGAAGATAGCTATCTTCAAAGTCATGCATCTAATGAGGATCATTAGAGAATCTTAGTGGATGACTGATGTAACCTGATGGTTAAGTTTTTTTGCTATCACAGTGGGTCTTAGTCAGGCCTAGGTGAATCCGACTTTACAGATCGGTAGCCAATACAATCTAATCTAACCTAGTGCCGTTGATCACTGCCTAGTTTTTTTTTTATCTAGAGTCGGCAACCAAAACACGACGCCATAGACTCGTTTTGGCTCCAATTGTTAGCTCTACGTCGACGAAAGAAGCGAAGTAAAGCTGACAGTCCGGAAGTTCTCTTTATTCAAATGATTGGATAGAGAAAGCAATACGAGTAGGAGCTGTTTAGTTTATGTATATGACAATCGGAGAGCTGCCATGTTCGCCAGAAAAGATGAATCTGTTTTTGAATCCGAAACAATTGGCAGAAAGTTGAGCAGTTCTCGTTCAGAACGAGTTGATATCGCCTTGCCAGTGCGCCTGCCTGTCTGGTCTGTACGTCTGATTGTAAGCAGAGCAAACTAGTCTTTCAGTCCAATCCAACTTGGTGCGCAGATATGTTTTTGTACTGTATTGAGCATTGGCGGCCGCGATAGCCGAGTGGTTAGCATTGCGTACTGCCATTCGGAAGGCTCGGGTTCAAATTCTAGTGTCGTACTAACATTCAAAAAGTTATGGAAAATTTATTTAATTAAAAATTCGGCAGGGAATTTCAACCCCTCCGTGTGTATTTCTGACATGAAATAATGGCTTCTCGTAAAAAAACCATCAGCCGTTCGGAGGCGGCTCCATTTGTTGGAAAAACATCAAGAGGCAAAACCACAAGTTGGAGGAGGTGCTCGGCGGAAAGCGCCAATTATATATATAGGGATCAAAGAGGGCACTCCCTTGGACCGAATTTCCATTTGGATTCTCTGAAGCAGATGATGATTGGTGATTGGTAATGCAAGTGAATCACATACAGCAACGTCAAGCGAAATCCGCTGTGGTCAGAATGTAGTGAATCGGTACAAACTGTCTCCGAATCAGGACATTTTTTTTTGATATTTGTTTTATTTGTACACTAACTCATCTCAACAGTCTTAAGCTGACACATCGGCCAACTCTTTCAGCAGCGTGAAATATATGTAGCTTCACTTAATCTTCGCCCTTATGACACTGCAGCTGGGTCAAGCTTGTTCGTATTTATCGCGAGTGATCTTGTAAACTCAAAACTTACACAAAACTTCAATTGTGGACTTTGCGCAACTAATTAAACTTAAAAGAGACTTATGTATGTATGTCTGTGAAAAACTGGCAACCCAAGATAAGTGAGTACATACATACATGGAAATTAAGGTCAACACTGGGCTTTAATGTTAGATGACTAAACAAATATGAAATAATTATGAATAAATATGAACCAGCTTCGCACTGAAACTAGTATTTATCTAGAGTGAGTAAGTTAAAATTTTTATACTTCTTTGTACATATGTATATATATATTTTTTTATTTTTTTTATTTTTTTAAGTTTGCAGGTTTTTATTAGTGTTTGTATTGCTAAATATGCAGGTAAATATTTGCTTAAAGAAAATCACTTAAAACTACATTTAACGGTGTTATTATGGCTTTTGTTTATAGAAGTTAACAATTTGTCTAGTAATAAAAAAAAAATTAATTGCATAATTACTTACTCATTTTGTTGTTTTGTACTATATAATTTTATTGTATATATGCTTGTATTGCAGTTGTTTTTAAAACCGTAGGTAATTTTTAGTATTTTTATGACTATAAAAATATATATATTTTTAATCACTGTAATTTAAAAAAAAAGTTTTATTAAGAATTATATGACAGCAATTAATGGAATATCAAATTGTTTATTTATTTATGTTAAGCGTTAAATTTATTATCTTTATTTATTGTTACCTCGAAAAAAAATTGCGTAAAATTGTGCACGCTTTCTAATGCCGAAAAAACAAAATTTATTAAATTTATTTATTATTTTATTGATCAATTTTGAATGCAAATTTTTTATGCATTAAAATCTCCAGCGGCTCTGTTGTATAAAATTATATTTTGTATATTTGCATTTAAGTAGCATTGTTAATTTGATTGCGTTTTGCCATTTGGATTTTCCCTCCATTATTGCTAACTTATGCCAACCTTGACATTGGCAAGAAGCAGACACCAAGTTTTGTTAAGGCAGGGCAGTAGCAGAAACCCAAAAAAAAAGAAAGAAGGAAAGAAATACGAAACAAAAAGAAAGATAACTACACTTGAACTTGAGCTTGTGCCAGAAATTCAAAATTTGGCAAGGTTCAAATTATTTATGGAATACGAAAATATGTGTTGCTCGCTCTTTTCTTTGTGATGCCACCAATTCATTGGTTTTTTTTTTTCGATATTTGGTGTCAATTAAAAATACCAAGCACTGCCCGAGTGAAGGTATTACACTTCCTCTGCTACCGCCGGCGGGTACTGCATCGAAAGCTTTCAAAGCTGGTGCATTCTTATCCAAACCGGACCACATCAACCAGCCATCGTAACCGCTGTCCCTTGATTCACTGACCTATGACCTTGTCAGATGTGCATAACCTTCATGCATCCGCACCACATAGCAAGACGGGTTCTCTTAGAGTTTGGTCTTTTTTCGTCATGAGAGGACGTTACTATTCAATGGAGTAGGCACCTGTGGGCAAGAGAGATTGAGTGCTGGATTTCCTGTCGTTGCTGTTAATATTGGTTCAACGATAGACGAAGTTATCTACGTCAACACTGACTCGTGAATGCGAATTCAGGCATCCCGAGATGGAGGCAACTCGTTTTCGTGTTGTCAAAGTCTGCTTTAGAACCGACGTAGGGGGTCGTGTGTGCCGAATCTCTTTCCGCGGGTCTACATATATCTGATTTACCAGGTATAAAGCTTTTATGATAATGTTCAATCTGTGTTTGATGTTGGGCCTTTCAAATAGAACCATATATGCGATATTGAGGAGGCTTTGTACATAGTAACTGGAGCCGACTGAGGGGTCCCGCTTTTGTGGATTAGACAGAGTACAGTTAGTTTGGAAAGAAGCTGTCATAATTAAATAACTCGGCCGGTATTCCATCGCCCCCTACCGCTTTACTATACGAAATTCTACATAG